AGTATGTCCTCACTCCAGTGGTTTTATAAGTGAATAATAATTACTTGATTATATTAATGAGAAGGTACCCATGAATATAAAAATAATTAAAGATACCATCTAGCATTTGCTGACTGTTAATGTCTGTCAGGTGCTATGCTGGGGACTCACCTGGATTACTCATTAGATTATCATAAGTTTATAAAATCAATATTACTGTTGAAGGTTGAGACATGCTGAGAAAAACTGGCTTATAAAATGTACAGGGTTCTAAGTGGCAGGGTCAGCTTGTGGGCCTCAGGACTGGGTTATGGAGCTGGGAGTCAAACTTAAGGTTTTGTATATACTCTACCACTTAGCTATGCTCCTAACCCTAACTCCAGCTCTGAGTCATTTGTTTATAGAGTGCCTGCCCAAAAAGGAGGCCTGATATATTACAGCTTTGCATTGTGACCAAAGGAAAAATGGTCGCCATCTCTGGAGGAATAATTGTGTGTGTTTTGGTTGTTGCTGTTGTTGCTGAAAAGAGAATATCTTCATACGTAAAAGATATTCATGCCTCAAAATTTTCTTCATGCACAGTTCTGTCTTCACAGCATAAGAACAAAAATTAGTTCACTAATGAATATTAAAATAGAAATGTGGAAATACCATAGTATTACTTGGTGAGGAAAAAGATCTTTATGCTGTTTTCCAAAATGGACAATACACCAATCAAATTATCTCACCATTAACTTCCTGTCTGTTGTGATTCCTCAGGAGGTGTGTCATTACCCTTTGGGGTGTGAGATGGATTATTTTTGTGAAGTGCCTCTGGTGCTTCCTGGTCGCTTTACTCCCTCCTTTGATCCAACATTCTCAGCTTTTGTGCATCCAGTTCTAAACCTCACTCTATCTTCCTGGCTTTTCTCTCTTCCCCAGAGTCTCTCCCCTTTCCTGAGAAGCCTTCTGATTTCCTTATCCATTCAGTTCAACTCTGTGAGGCCACCACCCTCGCACCTCCCATCCGTGACCACAAGCCTTGAGAGCAGAATGGTTTCTTGTGATGGACAGTGCTCACCAACGATCATTGGTGCCTCATATAGTGCCTGTTAATGCTGTCGGTACCCCTGTCCACTCACACCCTTATGATACTTCTACTTCATTGCTCTCAAACTGTGCTTCCTAGATCCCCGGGAACCCATAAATGTAGTCTCAGAGAGACTGATGGGTCCTTAGGAGAATTTTGCCTTTTTGACGCTGTAGCTAGAGTTTTCCTGCCTTGCCCACAGTCAGGACAAATCTTTGTCACCCGCCAGTCCCATAGCTGCTCAGACCCAACCAAGTAAACACAGAGACTTATTTTGCTTACAAACTGTATGGCCGTGGCAGGCTTCTTGCTAACTGTTCTTATAGCTTAAATTAATCCATTTCCATAAATCTATACCTTGCCACGTGGCTTGT